GTGTTACATTTGTTTGATTAAATAAAATTAACCTGTGGTCAGGAGGCTTAGTTAGCAACTAGCTAAAAAGAAGTGATAGGGAGAAACCATGTATAGCTAGGACTATTAAGAGGAAGCTGAGCAGGGATACCCTGTTATTTTGGGAGACACAAGCTAAAAGAGAAAGCAATCTACTTGCTATTCAGCCTCTCTGAATGAACAAAATTGCATCTCAAAAAATCCATAATAAATCAAATTTGTAGTCACATTAGGTATATATTCAAGGTTAAACAGATATATTTTAGATATATCATTTTCAAACACTTCAAAGGCCTACAGAATATGGCATTTAAGAAGCTAAATAATCTAAGACTTTTTATGACTATGGGACAGATATGCTCCAGGAAACATCATTTTACTTCATAAAAGAATTACAGGCATTGGAAAAAATCTGTATGAAGTTTGCTTTCAATGTGGCAAGGCTAGCCATTTGGGAAAGAAACTGATCTTGTTTGGATTGCCTGACAGTATGTTGTACAAGCAGGACATGCAGCACCCACAGGAAAGTGACTATTGAAATTTGCCAAAACAAAGCATGACAGTCTTTTAAGACTCCTACTTCTCAGAAGAGCTTTCCATATATCCTGCTGTACACAAAGTAAAGCAGCTTAAGAATTTTGTCTGTACAAGGTGGGCCATTCCTTCAAGTTTTCTGCTTCATTGTAAAGTCTGCCAGATATTCTAGGTCTGTAGGCAGAAGACAAATACTCAATGTCACAGCAGAAAATTTTGTGACTGTCCAGACAGCCAGATGTCTTTATTAGGTAATGTTAATCCTTCTGGGTCTTTGATGACATTGAAGACTAAGTAGTTACAGTTGCAGTTTTCCTTAGTTATGATAGAAAATAAATTAGGTATAAAACTTTGGATTCACTAAAATAGGAGAGATAATGAAATATTTTCTCTGAATATGCTAAATACAAATGGACTGAATATTATAAATGGAATTCTTACTTGATAACTCTTTTTGTTGTTTGTAGTTTTACTATGGTAAAGTGAAAACATTTCAATTTTATTTAGACAAAAGTGGGCAAATGTAGAATATTAGTTGATGATGTATTGCGTTTGTTTATGATGTGGAATATCTGTTTAATTGTTCAACGGTTTGTTGCATTCTCTTATCTATTTGTTTAACATCAAGTTGTGTTACTTTGCCTCTCTAAAATTCCTGATTGTTCTAAAAAAAAAAAAAGAGCTGAATTTCCAAAAGCAAAGCCAGAGATAGCATAGGTAGGGCTGTCAGGCAGAAAAAAATAAATAGGAGGAGAAATCTGGAAGGAGAGGATCTAAAAGCTAGAGGAAAATGGAGTGCACAGCCGGGGCCAGTCACCCAGCTACACAGAGTAAGACTTAGGAGAGAATTCATCCTCCTAAACTGTACACATAAAATCATAATTATTACCTTTATGTGGTGCTCAGCTAACAATGCAAGAAATAAACTGATGTCTACTCAAATATCAATAACAATAAATGTTACCATTACTCAATACTAAATGTTTATGTTAGTAAAATAAGCCAGCTTAAGTTAATTTCTTACTCTTTAACACTTTTTTCCTCAGAAAATTTATATACAAGGTATAAGGGCTAGAATTTCATCATATTACCATCCCCTCTACCTATGAATGGCCAAATCACTCAGTTATATCCATGATTCATAGTTAGGGAGATTTCAAAAGAAATGAAACTTGAATTTCTTCCTTTTTTCCATTGCAAAGTTCCCCATATTCTGGCTAATTTGATTTTTGATTCATTCTGAGAATATCTAATTGTTAGTGGTTTAATACTGTATGGCTAACTTTACTGAATTAGTTCAAATTGAAAATATATCTTCAACTACATTGCATTCTTACCTGAAGAGTATGTTTCAATAGGCAATTATAAACAGAAAGACAGGTGGACCTTGGAGAAATTAACTCTAGTGTCATTGAGATTTAAAACCAATGGCAAAATGAAGCTTACTTCTATACTTTTTATGGTAAATTCACTAAGGCCACATTTACCTGGTTAATCGGCTACCTGTAGTGGATTGCATATATAATTTAAATAGACATTCACAATAGCGCATTTATTTTTCAAGAGTGTATTTCTGTCATTAAGATTTCAAGTGTTGTACTGGTAAATATTTAATAACTGGCTGTCAAATAAAAAATTATTGAATGGATTCCTGAATGGAAGCAATTGGCAATTTTATGCAATATTCTCAAAATTGTTGATTCCAATACATGATTAAGATTTTACTAAATGTGAAGTCATGTAGCATGAGCCAATGTTCATCAGCTCAAGCACAACACTCTATATTCCTCTAATAATAAACTCCATTTTCATAAAACTAATTAATGATTTTAATGTTGTTTTGATTTTAATTTTATCAGAGAACAGGAGTTTCTACAGAGGGTAGCATAGACCTAAGAATTAGTTAATGTCCAAATAAAGTGATTAAATTTATTAAATTTGAAGCATTGATCATATATTATGTAAAAATTTTGATTACAACCTGGTAAGTTGTACTCAAATGCAATCCATATGGATTTGTTAACTATTTATGTACAATTGTCAATAGGCTCCTAGTAATAAAGAAATGTATGTAATGCACTACCATCTGAGGCATTTAAAAACTAATATGATACATAAATTTGAAAATATAATTACCATTACAAGTTCCAAATTCCATGAAAACATGTTTATTTCTCATAAGTATCACTTCTCCACCTGTATTCCTCAATAACATTGGAAAACTCTTTCATATCTCAGCTCTTATAATTAATTGTTCTTTCAGTAGCATTGCTATTATGGTTGCTTATCTGAAAGAAGTAAAACTTAAAATCTATTTATTCCCCACACCTTTCTTACTGAAGTCTTTGTAGAGACTAATACTTCTATACTAAAGCAAAGAAAACTGAAACTTAATTTTTTATTGGGTTTTGACTAATAAAACAAGCAGTTCTAGAGAAATAGGCCATGGATTAATGATTCATGAGAACATAGATTTTTCAGGACAGATAAGCAAGGGATTCATTGCTAGACAGTCTCTCTAACTACTGTGTATTTCTGGAGTTTAATAATTCTAAATAAAATAATTAGTATTTGTGAAAGAATATTTAAAATGTCTTTTGATTTCTTGTCATTTTTCCTATTGCAAAATTCCCTGTATCTTAGTAAATTTGATGTTTTCTTCATTTTGAAAACATCTTTTAGTGGTACAATATATGTATGGGTATAATTTAACTGGAAAGATGTCTCAGTGCTTTAGAGTACTACCTGCTTTTCCAAAGTTCCTGAGTTCAAATCCCAGTGGCCACGTGGTGGATCACAACCATCTGTAATGAGAGATGATGCCCTCTTGAGGAAGAGACCTGGTCAATCATCCTCAGCAAATGAGACCACGAAACCCAATATGAACAAGTTCAACAGAACTGCCATATATGGTTTGCCCAGCATTCTCAGGGAATAAATTTCATTCATTCATTCATTCATTCATGCATGCATGCATTCATGCATTCATTCATAATTAACCAAAGTATTTCAAACTGTAAACATCTTCAATTACATTGTTTTCTTGTTATTGAAGCCTAGTTCAAAAACTAGAAAAGTAAACCAGGATATTTCTGTTATAGAATATCATTTTAAGAAGTTTTACATTTGTATATGTTGTGGAGTATTTGTTTTAATAACACAAAGATGTGTTGCAGTCTTTTATGTTGTGTTTGCTTAACTCTGAGAAGCTATGTTACTTTGCCTGTCTAAAACATCTGAGGGTCTAATAAAGTGCAGGAGAGCCAAAAGCAAGACAGAAGAAAGGACAGGCAGGGCTGGCAGGCAGAGAGAGAATAAATATAAGATGAAGAGCATAAGAAGGGAATCAAGGAATGAAAAAGGAACAGGAACAAGAGAGATCAAGGAATAAAGAAAGGAGGAACCAACCACACAGCCACAAAGCCATCGCATGGAATAAGAATGAAAGTAAGATTACAGAAGTAAGAAAAGGAAAGATCCCAGAGTTAAAAGATTGATGGGATAAATAAGTTGAGAAAAACTTGCAAGAAACAATCTTATATGTATTAACCTTAAAAGTATATAATTTTGAAGAATTTCCTTCTACCTTCTATGTACTGGCAAGTGTAAAAGTACCATGACATAAATATAATTAACTTGTAGAATTAATACTTGATATTTCATGTTTTTGTGATATCTGTAGGAGGCCTTCTATGGAGGAGGAGTGAATGAGGGGCAGGGGGAAGGTGCAGGGAGGGATGGGTAGAGAGGAGAGAGGAGAAACTTAAGTTTGGATATAAAATAAATAAATTTAATTTTAGAAAATGTGCCACAACATAAATATATATTTTTCCAAAACAGCAGTCTATATAAGATTTATAGTAGATACCATTCTCCATATTTCAAATAATTATTGATTCACAGTTACTGGCCAGGAAAATGTGACTAAAAACAAGTTTAAAATAATTTATGAAACTACCTGATTCTTTTGATATTATTATTATTGTTTTAGAGCATTTAATTGAGCCTATTGTCTCAAGTCTTGTATGCCAATGGCAAGCTAGTTAAGACAATCTTCTGTTCTTTCTTTTAAAAACATAGAAGCATTTAGTTCTCTAAATGGGGTAGGAAAAAAGGTATGCGTGGTTTTAAACTCTAAATGATAATATGAGCATTATTTTGTGACATAGAGACATTATAAAATGGTACTACTTGAAATTAAAACTAAAGTTATTTCCTTCTTCTCAACTTTGCTACTCTGTAGTACTTCAAGAAGCTCATATGCTTCTTACTCTTTTTTGTGCGTTTATTTTTCCTCTCTAATAGTTCCTTTAATTTCACCCACAGAAACCCAAGAACATGCACGGTGACTTCATGGTTTTGTTCTTTTTCTTTTCCAGAAATGTAGTCGAAGAAATCTGTTTTTTTTTTTTTTTTTTTTTTTTTTTTTTTTTTTTTTTTTTTTTTTTTTTAATTTTGCTGCCTGCAATTTGCTGTGTTTCCAAGGGCAAGAGGAAGGATTCACGCAGCTGAAACTTCATCCTTAGAAAAAGGTTAACAGATGCTCCATTTCCAGCTTTAAATACCTATTGTGGCTTACAACCATTTGCATATTTAGGCCAGATTCTAAAGCACTCCAAGATTTATGACAAGTGAAATTTACTTATGTACAAGGGAAAGGGACATACAAAACCTTAATTCTTTCCATTCTGTTGCTTTAATTTGCTGATTTACAACTCATGTTGTTCTACTCTAGTCTTTCAAGCCTGTGTCTATCCCTCTGAAAATGAGGAAAAAAAGACTCATTCTGGAATAAACTCTATACTCCACTGCATCCTGACAAGGCATGTTCTTCTCAAAATTTAGCATCACTCTCTTTCCTAAAGCTATAGCATTTTTTTTAAAATCAATCTAGTTATCCTTTTTTTGTTATTTAAAAAAAAAACAAGTTACCATCTCATCAAAATTGATATTTTGTGGCTTCCTTTAATTAAAAACGTTATAAAACACACTAAGAAATCAACCCCCCCAAGAAATGTACATAGCCCACAAAGAAAACTTGTTTCTGCTTTCCCAGAGAGCAGCACTCCCTCCTTCCTCAGGCAGGCCCTACTGGATTTTCCTTCCTCCCCATCCAGAGGGCAGGATGACAGTGCCCACTCCTCTTGGCTCTCCAGAACTTTTCTCTGCCTAAGTGTGCCAACTTCCAGGGCACAGCCTTTGTAGAGGGCAGCAGAATCATGTGTTGCCCCCAGATTAGAAAGCAAGACAGCAGGGGTGCTACCAGCGCAGCTCTTGATAACATTGGTGAATCTGTCCTCTGCAGCATTTTTTCTGGGTCTCTTCCATACCTTTTGCCTGATCCATAGCCACACTTTAAATGTCCTGGAATTCCCCACACCCCAAACTTTGAAGACAAGTGAGTTCCCGTGGACTCCTGGATGTTCTCAGAAGAAGTTAGCTCTCTGGGGACCTGGTGAATTTGAAAGATTTCCCTCCTCCCAATGTCCTCTGACTCAGATACAGGGATGCAGAGAGAGCAGGGAGTTAGGTTGGAAAATACAGGAACACAGACACCTTGGTGTAGGTTGGTTGAAAGAACGCACTGTCAAAATTCCCAGCCCATCCTTAGGAGGAAATAGGTGCTTCCCCCACCTCCTGGCTCTAAAACAGAGTGGGTGAGGTGTGGAAGGTGAAAGCTGAAGAGAGACTGGTGGTCAATAAATCCACAAGCAAGTTAGAAACTTGCTTTTCCACTCTGTACAGAATCGATGAAAAAACAGGAGCAATTTAGGAAGCCACTTGCCAAAAGCAGCACAAAAGGCCATGAATGATTTAACAATGCCACTAAGATGACAATATTGGGGAGGAGTCATTCACTTTCACTATCTGGGTCACTTAAATCTGTGTACTTCATTTCCCTACACTGACTTCAGTACATTGAACTGAAAAAATAAATAAATAAAACAGCATGGGGGCAATACTATTCTTAGATGATTTCACCAAAGCTACTCATTCTTCTTTCAATGTGGATATTCACTCTTCCCTGTCACCTACATCCCTTCCTCCCACTACTGAGTCTAGAATTAAATTTGACTGTAAACAGCTCATATGCCTTTATATTGTTAAAGCATTCAAAGTGACTCTTATTTGGTTAGTATCCTAATTATTTACCCACCTCTTCTTATACACACAATTTACCATCTACTGAGTGAAACTTAATTTTACAAGAGATACTTGGCAAGGGACTCAGAAACAACTGAAGATTTTCTTGTTCTTTATTTTCGTTAAGAATAGATGCTTATTCTTTGTTGAAAAATTGACCATCAGTGACGGCAATATTTGAAAGACTCTATGGGTTTTTACAAAGCACTAATTCCTGTGTTCCACCCCGACCCCCAAGAGTTACCAATTCTTTTGGCCTCTTATCTGGGCAACAGGGTTAGTACAAGCACCCAGGTGAAATCAACAGGCAATAGTTCCCATTGTAGTGCCTTAGTGTTGGGACTAATGAGTCCTGGTCTTCAGCTGCTCTTCCCTCCTAGAACCTTCTAATTAAAGTTACTAGAAGCTGTGCCTAGCTTAGAGGATCAGAGGATGGGATTTTCACTTGTTGGCCATTGACTGCAGTGTATTTAAGCCTACATGGCGCTAATAAAGGGGGGGAGGGGCTTTGATATCAGTGTTTAAAGGTCTGCGTGTAGGTCTGTCTCTGCTTGTGTATTCTCAACCTCCAGCCCCTTGCCTAAGCTGGCGCACTGGGGTCTAGCGCATAGAGCGCAGACGGGGGCCGTGGTGCGCGATACCTTAGATTAAGAAAAATAGGTTTTCAGATCTACTTGTGTTGCCAGATTGTCCTTTTCCATTCCAGTAGACATTTGAACAAACAAACAAAAACAAACAAACAAAAATAAAACTTGGTACACTTTTAGAAATAAAGGAAATCACAGTCCGACCTGGTAGCTCAGTTCTTTACTTCCAAGCACCTAGACATTTGTGGGGAAGGTTGAGTTAGGAATTTCAAAGGCTGTCGGGGCTAGAGTGAGTTCATGACCAGTCTAGGCAACTTAGAGTTGATCTCACAATAAAGCAGTGGTACAATGCTAGTCCAGCAGGTAAGAGTCCTTATATTCAATCCCTAGTACTTTAAATGAAAACAACACCAAAAAATACTTCTTTAATATTAAATTATATATTATTAAGCTAAGCTAATCAACAATCCATTCAAAAATTTTGCGAAAATAAGTGTAGGTTCAAATTGCATGTAAATACCTTTAAATGCGTTTATGAGATGTTTTCTGAAACAAGAAAATTATAGCTAAATACAATATTTAAATAGATTATATAAAATGACCCAGTGACTTGGATACTCAGCTGTCGCAAGCCTCTCTAGCTACACCAGAGGGAACTTTATAATAGTGAATTAAGAATTTCTGAGCCTCTGAGCTGCCTAAGCCTCTAAAGACTGAGAGATTAGGTAGCTAAAAATATTGCTTAGTATTTTATTCTTTTAAAACGATCTTCAAAAGTAAGTTTGAAATCTGCCTGGACACTGTCTAGTGAAAATGATTAATCAATGGAATGTAGACTGCTACAATCTCCTTTATTCTGAGTTCGCAATAATATATTTCAAAAAATATAAACTATCAACTTCCTAATAATTTCTATTCAAAAACCTTTGAGGTAAGGGAGATTATAAGACTATGTCTCTATAGATGATCTGCTTATACACAGATAACTCCTTGACAGATTTCCTGAGTAAAAAAAAAAAAAATTTCCATGAGCAACTGCAGAACTCAGCATTGCAATGTATTTTCAACTTGAAAGATAAAAAGATCCCCAACAATATTGCATTAAAGAATTTGAGATTACTAGCCAAAATGATTTGTATTATGTACCATTGATCTTGAATATGAACGACATTTATGTAATTAACTGTAACACTTTAGTTTTAAGTGAAATTGCATCTTAGAATCGTACAAATATAGCACACATATATTACACTAAAATTATGCCTCTCTTGAAGTTCAATGTAGTTTCCTATAAAAATAGTAAGGAGCAGTAATTTAGATGTACGTTTTTAAGTATTGTCATAAGTTCATATAGACATATTCATTGATTGCACAGAAGTCTATGAATCAATACAGCTATTTGTTGTTTTCTTTTGTAGTTAATTTAGAAAACAAAATTTAAAATATATGTATTTTAGAATTGCACAGAAAGCATTTTTCCTTAGGAGACTAGAAATATAGCCTATATTTTTAGAATGCTATCATGGGTTCTGCAAATTTTCTATGAAACATTTCAACACAATCAAGGATAATTTGAATCACAGAATTTTCTTATTCTTTCTAAAATTATTTTTTTAGGAATGTCAAATTTTTGACTACTAGAATGGTCTAAATTTAAGCATTTTCTTCTTGTGTGTCCTCAGACTGGGTGAGCTTAAGGGTAAAAGGAAATACTGTTTTGGTATTGACATCTATCCCTAGAAAAGCTAAAACTGAGAACTGAGACTTTTCCCTTAACTGTCTGAAAGACTCTCATGTCATTTGATACTCAGGATTATGCCACCCCGGAGTGAAACTTGTATTAAAACTCATTTATTAATCTTGCTTGCAATCCATGCCAGGAGTTGGAAAGAGAGAGAAAACTACAATTTTAAAAGAAGTAGTTCCTGAGTTCAGGCAGAGGATATAAAGGTAAAGATACTGCCATCATAATTTTTGGCACTTCGGTCTTTTATATGGGAAAGGGGCAATTTATTAGGCCTCAGTGTGGTTAAAAGGCAGATTTGGGAAAGAGCTAATATTTTGACAAACGAATAATTTATAGAAGAAAGTGGTGATTGCACTTTTCTGCTTCCAAATGATAAAAATAAATGTAATAATTATTTCTAATTGTTTTAGACTATTTTGAAAGCAACACTATTTTCTTCAAGGTTTGGATAAACAATTTGGTCTAAAGGTTTTACTCAGAAGCTACTATATATGTTACACATTAGATGGACCTTTGATTTAATATTTTTTGTATTTTAGAAAACAAATAGTTGATAAATGAATTTCAGGAAACATTAAACTACTCAGTAAACTAATCAGGCAAGGCCGTGAATCTAAAATTTGTGAACAATCTGGACTTCTAACATTACAGATTCACAACAGCTTCTATGATTGGATACTAAGTAATTTATTCAAATCATTAAACAATTATTTAGTAATTTAGTGTTCAGTCCTGAAGATAGAACTAATTTTGACCTTTCCAACAAACCTTCCTTCTTGACTTGTGAACCGAACCTCCTCTAAGATTTTCTGATCCAGTGAGCCAGACCACAACCCAAACCATGTTCCTGGGGCAGGTAAAATTAGAAAAATAAGAGATGGGAAGGCTATTTAAAACTTGTATAAAAAATTATTCCTGGCCTCTTTTAAATTATGGTGGCTGTCAGTAGTTCTTTGTTGATTCTTGCCATCACTTACATCAATTCCTGATTGTTTTGCTGTATAAAATTCTTTTCATGGGCTTCTGTAACCAGAGGTCTGTGTTTATATATGGAAACATAGCCCCCACTGCTATTACTGAATCTTTACTTGATGATACGTAAAGATTATGTTCCCAAATAAGATAAAGTAAGTAATAATCATTGTCTAAAAATAAAAAAAAAAGTGTTCTGGCAGACAAAAATTTTTTTCTACTTTCTTTTTAAATTTTCTCTTATGTCTTTTTTGTATTTTTATTACTTTATAAATGATACCAATCAGAATTCCCACTTCCTCCCCTCATCCCACTTCCCCCCCCCCCCCCCCCCCCCCCCCCCCCCCCCCCCCCCCCCCCCCCACCCCCCCCCCCCCCCCCCGCCCCCCCAAAACCCACCAAGGCACCCTGCCCTGTGGGAAGTCCAAGGCCCCCCCCCCCCCAACACCCAGGCTTAGGAAGGTATGCATCCAAAGACAATAGGATCCTAAAAAGCTAGTATGTGCAGTAGAGACAAATCCCAGTGCCATTATCATTGGCATTTCAGTCTGTCCCAATTGTCAACCACATTTGGAGGGTCCAGTTTGATCCCATGCTCTTTCATTCCCAACCCAGCTGGAGTTGGTGAACTTCCATTAGCTCAGACACATTGTCTCAGAGGGGGAACCAACCCCTCATGGTCCTTACTTCCTTGCTTATATTGTCTCTCCTTCGGCTCTTCAACTGGACCTTGGGAGCTCAGTCCAGTACTCTGATGTGGGGTGGCACATCTACACATTAGAGTATTACTCAGGGGTAAAAAACAATGACATTTTGAATTTTGTATACAGGTGGATGGAAATAGAAAATACTATCCTGAGTGAGATAAACCAGACCCAAAAATATGAATATGGTATGTACTCACCCATTAGTGGATTCTAGCGATAAACAAAGGACATTAAGCCCATAGTTCATGATCCTAGAAAAGCTAAGTATTAAGATGTACCCAAATAAAGGTATATATAGATCCTCCTGGAAATTGGAAGCAGACAAGATTGCCAGGCAAAAGTTGGGAGCATGGGGGCAGGGGGTATAGGGCAGGGGAGAGGGGGAGAAAAAGGGGGAAAAGGGAGGGTTGGGGAGAGCCTGTGGGAGTAAGACAGTTGAGATGGAGGAAGGGCGGATATGAGAGTAGGGACGGAGATATCTTAACTGAAGGAGCAATTTTGGGGTTGGCAAGAGGCTTGCCTCTGGAGGGGTTCCTAGGATTCCAAGGGGATGACCCCAGCTAGGACCCTGGGCAGTGGAGGAAAGGGTGCCTGAACTGGTCTTGTCCAGTAATCAGACTGATGACTATCTTAAATATCACCATAGAACCTTCGTCCAGCGATGGATGGATGGAGACAGAGACAAAATTTAAGGAATAAAGGTAGAAACAAATCTTTGCTTAAGGTTACTATGATAAAAATAAATCAACTCATATAATTAATAGAAATATGTTTATTATTGCCTTATTTTCATGCCTGAATATTAAAACATGGAAACGACTAAACATATTTATGTATGTATACAGACACACAAGAACACACACACATACATTCTCAGTAAGCTATGCTCATTGAGTTTTTTCTTGAGAATATATAAAACAACTTGATAGAAACAACTGAAAGAAAAGTACATACATATCTAAATTTATCTATGTGAAATAAGTAGCTATCATGTTAATTAAAAAAAACGTGTTTTAGGCAGGGCAGTGGTTTTGCACGCCTTTAATCCCAGCACTCGGGAGACAGAGACAGGCAGATCAGGCCAGCCTGGTCTACGGAGAAACCCTGACTCGAAAAAAAAAAAAGTGTTTTAGGTTCATTTCTGTTGCTGTCATGAATATTCTGACAAATGTAAAGGAGAAAGTGTGTATTTGACTTATGATTTCAAGTTACAATCCATCATTTTGTGGACATCAAGGAAGGAACTTGACACACCTAATTACAAACACAGCAAAAAACAGGTAGAACAAAAGATCCATATATGGTTACTGCTCAGCTCATATTCTGTACTCATATATAGTTCAGAACCCAAACCTGGGGAATCTTGCCAGCCACAGTGGGCTGAGTCTTCCAAAATCATTACTCATAACACTATACCGCAGATATGCCTACAGGACATGAAGATCTACACAGTCCCTGTCTTAGGGTTTCTTTTTTTTTTTTTTTCTTATAAAGTAATTTATTTTGAGCTGCAGCCTGGGTTCTCAAAGAGCTTCCCAAGTATTGCCTAATACATCTTTATCCACGAAATCATCATTGTCTCAGTGACAGAAAAATGAAGGCTCAAAATTGTTACGTGTCCCATGCAGTGTCCGGCTCTGTCATAGACCCCCTTGCTTGTATAGTTTTTTTTTATTTTATTTTAAATTTATTTATTTATTTATTAAAGATTTCTGCCTCCTCCCCTCCACCGCCTCCCATTTCCCTCCCCCTCCCCCAATCAAGTCTCCCTCCCTCTTCAGCCCAAGAGCAATCAGGGTTCCCTGCCCTGTGGGAAGTCCAAGGACCACCCACCTCCATCCAGGTCTAGTAAGGTGAGCAACCAAACTGCCTAGGCTCCCACAAAGCCAGTATGTCTTAGGGTTTCTATTGCTGTGAAGAAACACCATGGCCATAGCAACTCTTATAAAAGAAAAATGTTAAATTGGGGGTAGATTACAGTTTCAAAGGTTTAGTCCATTAGCCTCCTGGTGGGACATGGTGGCATATAGGCAGACATGGTGCTGGAGAAGATGAGAGAGCTATATCTTGATTAGCAGGCAATGGGACATGAAGTGGGACACTGATGTAGCTTGACCCTTAAGAGACCTCAAAGCCAACCCTAACAGTAGCACACTTCCTTTATTAAGGACACATCTACTCCAACAAAGTCACACATCCTAATAGTACTATTCTCTGTTGAGGATCATTTTCTTTTAAACTACCACAGTCCATTATTGGTACTAACTTCTTTGGTAAATCAAGATGTGTTTTAGTTTACATCTAAAACTGACAGTCAGAGATGGTAATGAGAAAATTTAATATAAAATTTTCAGAGTAATGACATTAAATTAAGGTGTTTACTTTTTCAGTCACAGAGAATAACATTTACATTTTAATGAATCCAACAATACTGAGCACTAAACATTAAAATAATTTTTCGGAACATAATGCAAAGACTACTTTCTTTTCATCAGCTATGTGTTGAAAAGGATTACTATAATTAGCATTTATATTAATTATTGAATGGTCATAACTGTGACACAATGCTATGAAATAGAAAAGCAGGAACTTTTTGCCTTTAAGATGCCATAATTTAGAAGACAGTTGGGAGAGAACATGGTGAATTGAAGTTTGTGAACTCAGTAGGAATGCTGATCTCTATATTATGAGTATTTACATTATGTACCACTCCTCATAAAAAATCTGATACTAGAGAAAGTATTGACTGGAACATATCAGATAAAATTTAATGATCTTTTTTGTTTTAATGTCTCTTTGTAGGATTCAAGCACTCCTCAATCTCACTTAATAAGCTAGGAAGACTTTGAACCCTCCTGTTCTGCTGTGTCTATTTATTTTTAAGTGCTATTATTACCACCAAGTGACAGCATCCTTCAAAGTAGATTGAATGGGTTATTATCATATAAAGATTGAAAAATTAGTTTTTAATTTTTTAAAACTTTTACTGTTATTTTGTTAAAGTTTGAGTGTAAATTCAATGGTGAAATCTTCCTATTGCCCTACCATTTGTTAAAATGGTCTTCACAGATACATTTGTGATGATGATGATGATGATGATGATGATGATGATGATGATGATGGTGGTGGTGGTGATGACAGCAATGATGATATATATTCTGTTCAAAGCTTAGAGTTCTTTAGTCTCTTTTTCTCTGTACCATGGCCACTTATTGCCTCTGAATTAACTTAGTTGAAATAGAAACTTTTCAGATAAAGGTTCAGAGATACCTTGATTTGTGGTTACAATCATTCCTCCCACAGGTCAGTTATTTCTTTGTAAGTTGTTAGGAATTCTAGTCCCATCTACTCTCAAAACTGTAGATGTTATTGCCATTGCACTTGATTACTCTCCACAAACTGATTTTAAAACCCTGTTGATTTAAAAAATCCTGTTGCTGTTGCCATCAATGTGGAGAAATCAATCTATTACTGACTTGGAATCTCCATCCTTACTGGCTAGCTTTCTTGGTGCTACAAGGTGCATACACACTACCACATAAGAAAAGTAACCATCAATTATACCCAGATATGGACTATCTGAGATAGAGCGAGGGAAGGCCTGAAAATACATTCTTACTGGTGCAGCATTCTGAGAGTAACTACCCATTTTTCTGATTAGATTTAACAACTGATCAAAATTCAGATTTGTGGAGTACAGTCTCAAAGGCTCAAAGGATACACCTACAACTTATCCCATGTACCTATGACTCAGGGATAATTGATAGTGATGGAGTGAAAAAAATGTAAGAGGATCAGGGATAAGTTTTGGAAATAAATGTTGGAGGAGATCTTTGTTATCTGTTGAAGATAGGGCACACAGATACTGCAGAAGGTTTTCTGCTAGTATTGGTGCTGAGAATGGAAATGATTAGATCTGGAGGAACAGAGAAGAGATGTAGATCTGCCTTCAGCCTACATGTTTCCCTGACTAGAAAGAACCTTTTGGTAATAGGGTTTTCCGGCTAATGTTGTGACTTTGAAAGAAAACAATAAGCTGCAGGAGAATAGAAGTGGAAGATCTATGGGATCCATAGTAGATGGGAAGGGGGTGACAGGATGGCCGTCACACGGTTGCCTTTTGAAGTGCAACGAAGAAGAATAATCAATTGTCAATGATTCCCTGTGGAGCAGCTGTGGTTAAATCTTGCTGCAGAGATGGGGATGAGACAAAGAGCTTTTATTTGGAAGCACAGAGCAAGCACAGACCTTTTTAAAGGATTCTTCATAAGAAAAGCTTCCTAATTTAAAAAAGTTGAAATGAATAGAGTATCTTTAATATATCAATGACAAGACAAATATGAACATACACATACATGATTATAGTATGTTTTTTTATTTCATAAAAGAGAAAAGTGAGTAAGTGCCAGGGAATTTCTAGTACAGTCATATCAATTTGCTCAATGTAAAGCAACCTGTGATAAATAGCAAGCAAGATTCTCTGTCCTATTTTTTCTCTTTTTAATTTTTTTATTAATTTTAATTTTTTATTGAGCTATACATATATATACTCTCCCATTCGCTTCACCCCTCTCTCCTTCTACACTCTCCCATCACCCCCCATGGTGGCAATTTACCCAGGAGATCTTGTCTTTTACTCTTTCCTATGTAGTTCTATGTGTGTTTATATTAAAGACTTTTGTTTTCTAGGTTCTCTGGGGTTGTGGGCTAAAGACTGTTATTTCTTTGTTTTATGTCTAAAAGTCACTTATGAGTGAGTAAATATTATATTTGCCTTTCTGGATCTGGGTTACTGTCGAGGACTGGCCATGACAAAAAAACTTCTTACCAAGGTAGAGAAGTGGTAATTGAAGAAATATAAGTAAATAATATGAAGACACAATAAATAAGACAGAAACTATAGCAAGTATCAGGAAGGCATTCTAGTCACTCAATTCCTGAAATGTTGGAATCCTTGTATTTATTTTTCCATAGTTTTTATACTCAACATAAATGGGGCGGAGGAGAATGTAAAAAAAGATTTTATTAACATTTTTTTTCTTTTTTCTTTATTTATTTATTAAAGATTTTTGCCTCCTCCCGGCTACCGCCTCCAATTTCCCTCCACCTCCCCCAATCAAGTCCCCCTCCCATATCAGCCTGAAGAGCAGTCAGGGTTCCCTACCCTGTGGGAAGTCCAAGGACCTCCCACCTCCTTCCAGGTTTAGTAGGGTCTAGAGATGGCAAAATTAGAAGGTTTCAATCTCCTGGATTATGTAGATGACGTAGAAAAGGCCAACATTGGATCAAAGGATGTAGATTGTAAAAGACAGACAAAGCAATCTTGTACCATTAGGAAACTCCTTGGGGACCTCATGCAGGCCCCCATGTCGAACATGTTTGAGACTTTCCCAGTCATTGTAGAGAAAATATCTCACCAAGAAAATTAAAAATCCAGGGCCTGCTGTAAAGAACCATACTGTTATGGATGATAGACTAGACATGGAGGATGAATTTAAAAAAAAAAAAAAAAA